AACCGTGCAGTGAACTTTTGCGAAAGTAAACAACTTGTGTTTCGCGCGCTCATATGACCTTAGCAGTTGCGAGCGCCGTAAAACCCTATACTACTACTACTACTAAACCCCATGTTTTTTCGTGTTACGTCATACACTACACTGATATCATTCATTGTCTGTGTAAATCTATGTATCCATAGAAGAAATCATCATCTGCTGTTTGTAATGAACAATAAAAGGTTTTCATCTTCTTCTTCTTCCTCGTTCTCGATGACAGCAGTAACCTGTTCTTATGCATAGTAGAATTGTAAATGGGCTGGTTTATCAATTCATGCTCATACTGTGCCGGAACAACATAAGGGGAACTGCTGCTTTTTCTTTCCTCATCTTTACTATCGTCATTTTTTCTCTACTTCTTTTGTATGTTTGTCACTCTCTTGAGAACTGCTATTGATAGTCGAAGCAGACTTTATGCTGTTGAGGTTAGAGAGGTGAGCAGAGTAAGCCTGATTCCCCGTCTAGACTTCTCTGTTGACATCCACCCCTTGGCGCTCATATGACCGTATGCAGTTGCGAGCGCCGTAAAACCTTACTAAAACTAAAAACACGCGCACAGCCTGACCAAAGATCGTGTCGTAGAGAATCATCGGCCTTGCCATGTTGCCCGGGTCACATTGATCAGGACACAATGGAATTTTCTCCCTGTGTTGCTGGCGGTCTGGGTGAAACTGACCGGATTTTACAGGTTTTAGTGAGTTTTACGCATGGCGCTTGCCAACACAAAAGGTTCGTGCGAATGCCAAAGACTAGAGGCGTCACGAGAGATTTTTAGTTTCAGTAAGTTTTACGGCTCTTGCAACACAAATATAATTTTTCAAAAATTATGGGTGGTACTATAGATAGAACGTTTTAGTTTTAATACGAGTTTTACGGCACTTGCAACATTACTAGGTCATACAAATGGCACTGATAAGAGGTGATACTCAAGAGTAACATACACAGAAAAGATGGGGGAGAGATAAGGACGATAGATGTTAGACCGGAAAGAAGGAGGAGAGAGAGATAAGGACGATAGATGATAGACCGGAAAGAAGGAGGAGAGAGAGATAAGGACGATAGATGATAGACCGGAAAGAAGGAGGAGAGAGAGATAAGGACGATAGATGATAG